GTGTCAAAATTGCAGGTTCATTGACACCATCTTTGGTTTTGGACATTTATTACTGTCATTTCAAAGGGATCCAGGGGTATCACACATGTGTGCTCAGTCTGTTATCTTGGAACAAAAAATGTTTATCTTCTAATTTACTTCAGAAAATAAAATCATATAGAAACTCTGGATACCTGAGAAGCTACTATGGATATTCCAGACATATTCTATAATCTAGGTGTGGGTAAATATGATAATTTAAATTTATGAAAGAATACTCCATTTGCTTACTTCAAGCACAAATACTACTTTTCAATCATAAGAACTTTAAATACCAGCAGTAGGAGGCTCCCTGTTCCCTTGTTCTCACTACAACAAAATTATTTTCTCTCAAACCAAGCGAGAGAGTAGTCGCAATGCATCCACTTCAAAGAAATAATTTTTTAAAGTAACAAAACAAGTTGCTTTTTAATAGAATATAAGAAAATGCCCCCATTAGGTTCACAGCCTTCAAAAAGGGGTGTGGTTGTGGTGGTATCATACACTTTCCTTTTCTGACCTTTCATTCACTTCATAGGAGGTGATTAAATGCTTCCCACTCACTAGCACTGGCCTGGCTTTCCAGATGGAGCAGAGAGATACCACAGATCTAGGTTCCTGGTGGGCAGTGCTGGAAAGCTACCATATAATTTATGCAAATAAAGACACTAACATACTAAATAATAACTACAATAAACTATCAAGCATTGCCTGACCAGCTGAGCAGGTCCAAGAAAAGACAAGTAACATACATTCTCTCCTATCTTAATCCATTTGTGTTGCTATAAAGGAATACCTGAGGCTGGGTAATTTATAAAGAAAAAAGGTTTATTTGACTCAGAGTCCTGCATGCTTTACAAGATGCATGGCACTGGCTTCTGCATCTGCTCAGAGTCTCAGACTGCTTCCACTCACGGCAGAAGGGGAAGGGGAGCTGGTACGTGCTAGAACATTTGGCAAGAACTGAAGCAAGAGAGAGCGGAAGTGCCAGGCTCTCTTCAAGAACCAGTTCTTGTGGAAACTGAGAAAACACAAGCTAGAATGGCACCAAGCCATTCATCAGGGATCCGCCCCCACGACCCAAACAACTCGCACCAGACACCAACTACAACACTGGGGATCAAATTTCAATAATAGGCAGGGCCTTGGCAAACCATGTCCAAACCATACCATTTCCCAAGTTCTACTTCTCACAAAGTTCTATGTTGGAAAAAGATCACTTTTATAATCATCTGATCAATTCATTCCCTAAATGAAACCTGATGCTACTTTCTCTGTTTGGAGCAAAGCACTGAAGAGATATAGATGGACTCTCAGAACCTTCCTCAAGGCACCTAACGCCTTCTTTTCTTACCTTTGATCTGAGTAACACCTATACCAGCTCAGGATCACAGAATTCTAATCTGCTCTTTTAAGATGTGCTATGGTTTGGATACGGTTTGTCTGACTCCTCCAAATCTTATGTTGAAATCTGATTTCCAATGTTGGAGGTGGGGCCTAATGGGAAGTATCTGAGTTATGGTGGCTGATCCCTCACCAATAGTTCGATCCCTTCTGGGGTCAGGGTCAAGTGAGTTTTTATTCTATTAGTTCCAGCAGGAGCTGGTTGTTAAATAAAAAGAGCCTGGCACCTCCCTCCCCTCTCTTTTACTTCTTGTTTCGCCATGTGATCTCTACACATGCCAGCTCCAATTCACCTTCTACCATGAATGGAAGCAGCCTGAAGCCCTTATCAGAAGCAGATGTTTCTTGTACAGCCTGCAGAATTGTGCACTCTACATATCTGATTCCATTTCATTCTTACAACTTCCCATGAGTTAAGTACTCACCATGAGATAAGTTCCCATTTTATAAGGAAGAAAAGTAAGGTTCAGAAAAGTTAAACACTACATCTAAAGTCACGGAGTCTGTAAGAAAATAACAGCTATAACAGTAAATTACAGACAAACATCAGGGTAAATTATCGTAGCATTTTATCAAGAATTACTAAGTTCAACAGAAAGAAAAAGGCCCTCCCTACTAAAAAGTTTGCCCTGGCTACAAAAAAACCAGTTTACCTAATATTCTATTCCAATTCTTTTCTCTAATGCCAAAAAAAAAAGTATAATTTCTTTTCAAGATAAGACTAGTTCTCCTTTATAAAAGAGAAAGTTATTTTCTAAAGAAGTTAACAGCTTTATGATATTTACTGAGTGTTAATTGGCCTCTCTCTCTCCCTATTCTACTAACCTGCCCAGTTCCAGTTGTTCAGGAAGTAATTTATCTAATAAAATTTGTGAAACACTACAGAAAGTCCTTTAGAAATATTGGTTGGAAAAAATGAAAATCAAGGCATTCTTTTTCAGGACCAATGTTAAAAGAGTGGTAACAGGAATAAAAAATTAATTCCAGAGTCTTCCCACCAGACATAGAAACACTTTAGTAAAGGGAAATGAGGCCTGTAGAGAGATGAAGAGCCATGAGAACTTTCCCTTCAAAGATTCCAGGATGGATACATAACTGACTATTTCATTCTCACAGGAATTCAGAGCCAAGACTGCATGTACCAAAAGACCCTCACTGAATTCTTGAACTTGTTAAGCTTGTCCCCTACCCATGACTGTTTTTTCCTCCAGCTAGAATGTTATTTCTTTAGTCTTTGCAAGGCTGGCTTCATGTTTTCCATCATTAGTTCTAACCTCAGACTGTCACTTCCTCAGAAAGGCCTTCCCTCCTTACCTAAAAGGACATGCCCCATCCCCTTCTGTCACACCATTCTATTTTATTTTCCTGCTATCATGGATCACTGTCTGAACTTACCTTCTTTGTTCTTTTTTATATGTTCATGTAAGGATCTCACCTTTCCCATTTTCTATCCCCAATTCCTAGCTCAGATTAGACATATAATAAACGTTAAAGACTGCACACAGCTAATGGTAGGTATCATTATACTGCATCAATATGGAGGAATGGGGTGAAAATGAAAAGATTCCATTTACTTCACTCCAAACCTTCTCCCTCAAGCTCAATGAGAATAAGGAATAATAGGTTATTTCCTGCAAATCATATTGGGCAGAAAAAAAAAAAACAAACAAGAAATAACAGATTATGCCTCATGACAATAAAAAGAAATTTTCTTGTAGAATAAATGTATATCTCCCACCTCACCTCCCAGTGTCACAAAGTCCAAGCATCCTGCTTCAGTAACAAGCCAAATCAATTAGAAACAGACTGGAAAATTTATAGAGCAAACAACTTCTATTATCCAGAGTATAAAAGAGTTTGATAGCTGAGCCAAAGAAATTTCCACCTGTCTCCTCATTTATTTCAGACCCACTTCTGGCACAACATCCCACAGAGGGACAGAGAAACCCAAGAAAGAACACCTATTTGGTGGCAGAGCATGCAAAAGTAAACAAGAACTTTCAAATCAAACCTTTAAAGTTTGAGGACAGAAAAAGTTGAACACTCTAAGCTCTATCTGCATTTGGACACAATTCCAAATCATGTAAAAGGAATGCTTCCAAAATCAAAAATAACTATAACTATTTATAAAATAATCCTCCTAAACCTGGCCCTCAAAACTAGAAAAAGTTTGTCAAACATATAATTCATAAAACGTACTTCTTGCTATTATAACCAATTGAACTGAATCACACAAGCAGTAATATGCATAATATCTCAATGGTAATTGAATTAAAAGCGTTGACACTAACAGAAAACCAGTATTATTTAATAATGTACTGAACCAGCTACCAAAAACAATTCATTTTTATTACTTTGCTGTAGGTCAAATAAATCTGATCTTCCATAGCCTGCACTTGATCGAGAGCTCATAGCTCCACGTACAATGAATGAAACTGCCACTCAGGGTCAAGTTTTGGTCTCCTCAAGTCATCCGATGGAAAAAGAAGGGTAGGTTATTCATTAAGACGGTAAATGAGCACCAACTGGAGACTGTCCTGCAGCAAAGCACTTCGGGTTCGGTGCTTCTCCTGGGAGATGGTGGGCAGAAGGATTACAGCAGACATGAGGGACCCTCTGGGACAAGACGCCCAGGGCAGGGCTCCAGGTCAACCGTCCCACGTTGCTGCAGGGAGGATTGGGTGTCGGCGGGCACCATCCACTGGACGCCCCCAGAGCCGTCCCCGGGCTGGAGCAGACAGTCGGGGTCGCCCGCCGTGCGAGGCCTGACAGCTCAGGGAGGTGAAGGGCCCCTCCCACCAGATCCGCCACCGTGGCCAGGAGGAGGGGAGAGAGACCTCGGGCAGAGGATGGCGAGGCCGGGGTCCTGCCAGGGCGCCTGAGCATCCCTCCCCGTCGCCCGAGCCCGGTTCCCACCCATCACCTCACCTCGGCCGGCATTGGCAGGTTCTCTGCCGCCGCCTTCAGCTCCAGCACCGAGTCCGTCTGCCTGTCGGTCAGCGGCGCCGTCGTGTCCGGTCTCCGATCCCACAGGGCCAGCTTCTCCCGAGCGTCCCGCTCAGCCGCCGCCTCAGACAGCAGCAGCAGCGCCGCCTCCGCCATTGCCGCCGCCCCCGCGGCCCTCAGCAGCAGCGGGGTGAAGGGGATCCCGACAGACAGGCCCCGGCCACTTCCGGGAGAACCGGGGCTACCAGCACTGCACCGGCGGAGGGGCGGGGCGGGCCGGAATGCCCTGACCCCGGAAATGCTTCCTCAGTGTGGAGGCGGGACCGAGGCCAGAACAGACGTGGCTTTAAACAAGCTCCAACTATTTCCGGTTGGGATGTAGAAGAGGGTGGAGACTGGACCTGACGGAAATAGAAACGCCCCTACCGGAAGTCTCTTCCTCAACATCAGTAACTTTATTGTTACGAGTTGTTCAAGTTACTGACAACTACGCTAAGTCACCTGCCGGTAGGGGGTTTCGTGAGCTCCCGGATGTATCGCCTCTCTGCTCACAGATGGGTTGTCTGGATGGAGTGTGTAGAGTGTGTGATTTCCATGTTAACATGTTGACAGTTTCCGCCGCTTACATCAAAACCAAGAGCTTTACTATTCCAACATCCAATAATTCCCCTTTAGAAAACAAATTTATGGAAATGCATTAAAATCCAAAGATATGTGTATCTCGGACATTAATAGTATCAAATAACTAGAAACAACCTAAATGTCGAACACCAAAAAATTGGATCAATAATTCGTGGTACAGACATGTAGTTATAATACTGTTCTGCCATTTAAATCATGTGGATTTGAGCAACAAAATAAATAGCGATAGTATGGATCATAACCTACAGAATAAAATAAATACCTATGAGTCCATACTGATATAAATTATTGAATAAATAAATGGTAGAGAAAGGACAACCTACCTTACAGAAGAATTCCAGTCAATAAATGTAGACAGCCTGACCAACATAGCAAGATCCTGTCTACAAAAAAAAAATGTAAATATGTATTTGTGTATATATACACACACATATATGTATTTAGCCAGGTGTGGTGGCATATGCCTATAGTCCCAGCTACTTGGGAGGCAGGATGATCACTTGAGCCCGGGAGTTTGAGGTTGCAGTGAGCTATAATGACGCCACTATACTCTAGCCTGGTGACAGATTGAGACCCTGATATATATACATACATACATATAAGAAGTAGAAAATCGTCACTAGGACA